TTTAATTCTTTTAACTTTTTTAGTTTTTCCGCGCTTTCTGGTAATTACGAATTTTTCAATTTATTTGATTTTTTAGCTTTTTGTTTAACTGTTTTAGCTTTCTTAGCTTTTTTAAAAAGTTTAAAAAGTAAAAAACAAGTTAAAACAACTAAATAAATGAAACATCTAGAAAAAATCAAAGCAGAACCCGTCAAATAGACCCAAAAGGTCCTACATACATAGGGTTTAGGGCCCGATAATGGAGAATCAAATGGAAAAGAAAATGGAAAATGAAATGGAAACTGGGATTATATAGGCGTTATTTGAGTAGGCTTTCTGTTACTGAATTTGCTCAAAGCTTGCTTATTCCTTTTGCTGAATTTCCTGGCATAAGCCAGATTTGGGGGATGTCTTCTTCTCAGACGTACGAGTCCTTCTATGCCCAGATCGGCTTGGATCAACTGAATAACCCGGGATGCTTAGCCTTCATCGAGTTGTTCAAGCGTTGCAAAAAATGCTTATCCTGAGCGCGCTCGTTCCAGATTTGATTGATATCGAGATGTCCCTGAAATCCTGCAGTAAATCCCAAGTCTTGAACGTTGTCACTTCTGACAGATCATCTTGAGAATCTATTCCAAAAGCTAAGTCTACCAAGAGAGACCCAGAAGCTGCTCCGGAACGGCCGTCCACCCAACAGATGCCATCAGAGTGGCCGACCAACAAACACCTGATTCGGCTCGGAGCTTCGGTGCTCTAGTCAGGTTGATGGGATATACTATTGTAATATAGCAGTTTCCATTTGTCCATTATCCCCAAAAAACCCTATATACTATGGTAGTTTCCATTTTCTTTTCCATTATGGGACAGAGTTCCAAAGTCCCCTTCCACACCTGGAGGAGGGACACCAGGCCAGATGCCTCACCCAGGCTCCAGGGCTGACGCTGCAGGACCAGGCCACGCGGCACTGGGCACTCAGATCCCAAGCCTCGCAGGGTTTGGGAACTTCATCTAAGCTACCATGTTATGGCTGGAGTTTATTCGTGTTATGACTGGAGGTTATTCGTGTTCAGGGTCTAGGCTAAAGAGGCACCTAAGGTCAACTAGGCCTCAAGATCAAGGGCCTCTTTGCGATTGGTGGCTTGTTTCGCCACCTGGGCGTTGTTGCGCTGAGCTGAATTCAGGGGGATGCCAAGCCTCTTACAGTTTTCAGAGTGTCAGCTGAATCTGGTCTCAATGAGGGATGGGTATGGAGAGCTGTGGGCTTGGTGTCTTCAGTGAAGACTGTGAGCAATTGTGATATCACGCGTTTCAGAAACGGCCCATGAACATATAACATTAAACCCAGGGCCTTGGCTTTCAGGTGCTTGGGGGCCTGTGGCGCTGGGAGCTGACGTAAGCTTCAAATGCTCAAGGGTTAAAAGGCTTTGAAAGGCTTGAGGTCTGGTTGCCTCCGAACTGTTCAGCGGCCGCAACGAAGTCCCCAAAAGGGCATCATTTCTGATCTTAACAACGACAGGCGCTTTGAGGCCGCCACTTGGAACAGGGTTGATTGTAAATGTTTAGAGGAACAAATGACAAGATCAAAACTGAGAAGTATTACAAAAGCTTCCAAGCCAAGTCCAGATTATTTGGAGACAAGGACTGAGCATACAGGAACATCCAGAATTGATATCAGGCATAATGAGAACTCAAGGCGGGCGTGTTCACGCTTGAGAGCATGGCCGGCCACATCGCAACTTGGAAGGGTGTCTCGACATGATGGCCAATAAGAACAGGTCCAACACCTGGAGAGGCCTTTTCTCTGATAGAATCTTTCCACCGCCAATAAGACCATAACGATAAAATTCTTGTCAGAGAAAGGAACATCACTCCAAAAACACTAGTGATGCTCCTGCAATGGCATGACGTTCTCTTGTCAAGGACTGCATGGCCTTTACTGACCCACTGGTGCCGCCACTGGACAGCGAACCCTCCTCCTGCCAGCACAGCGCAGTCACCTGGAAAGGTCATGTGGCAGGAATCCGCAGAAAGGTTCTCATGGCTCTTCAGCTTACTAATCTAAAAATAGAAGCACAATGCGCAAACACTGAAACACAAAACCCTGTCGTGATGCTTGACTATTCATACTCTTCTCACCACAACAGAAAGGTGGGAACTGATGCGCTAAAAGAAATTCGCCAAACTCTTTTAAACTGCAACTAGAGATGCGCGGTCTGACAACTCACAAGCGGCCTCCTGCATATCGTGAGGGTTGGAAATGGAGAATGCCGGCGGTGCGGCTAGACCTTTCGGCCAACACCAAACCAATGGGAGTTTCTGACATGATGGTCTCCCTCATTTTGAGGGTCCCACAATTGGAGGGAACGACCCGAGGGACAGCACCACGACATTAGGCAAAGAAATCCTGGCACCAATGCTGGAACAACTACTGCTTACAGTTACGGCAGTAATGATGAACAGTACTCGTGACACGCACAAGCAATGACACAGGCAATCTTCTTCACCCTGCCCAAAGCAGATGTCTACGCAGGAAGTTCCTCCCCTGACTTGGGCGTTTTTGTTGGCTCATATTATGTTGATCATGAGCATTCCTTCGTGCTGTAGATTCCATGCATCAAGGCTTCTGTTGCTAGAAGGTGCCCGCCTCCATCCTGCTCGCACACCCGGGACACTGCCAGGCGGTCCTGGAAGGAAACCAATTGACGAGGTCGTGGCGGGGCTCAGCTTGAATAAGGAAAGCAGCAAGAGAAGCGAGCACTAAATAGCAGTCCTCCCATCTCTTACGTAGTCCAACTCCATGAGAGCAAGGTTGTCAGCATAGAATTCTGTCTTGGCCCACACAAGGAGTTTCGAGCTTCAAAAGGTGGGGGAGAGCCCTTGAACCTCATCAGCTGAAGATCCTTCGAGATGGAGGCCGCCAGCTCCCCGCAGCCCGGCCGTGGGGACACGGCCAGGGCCCGGCAGCCACGGGTGTGGAGAAAGCAGCTCTGAGCCTCCGAAAGCTTTCAGGAATGAAAAACTTGGAGGGTCAGGGGGCTTAGTAAGTAGGTTAATAATGGGGATACTTGCTTGGGGTTACTAAATTTTAAATGGGTTAGAGGGGTATTAACCTAAAGCCCCCTGACCCTCCAAGTAGCATGCTTACTAAAGCAATAACATAGTTTCCCAAAATAGGGGACCCCAATACAGACCCCAAAATACTATAGTCTTTATTTGAGGGACCCCCAAAAAGGTACCCCTAATTTTGGGAAACTACCATAATGGGAACAGACAAGATACCATGAGCCTCAGACCTGCACCTTCATCCACCTGCCTTGACTAGTGATCCTTGTAATGTCAAATCCCGAGCTTTTTGAAAATTCTTCCGGACCCCCTATTCAATTTTGGAGGTCCCAAATAAAGTACAGTGTTTCAACCGGAAAAATCTAGGGTAAATTTTGGTCAAATTCCTTTTTAATTGTTTTTGAAGAGATTTTCTATGATTTTACTTACATTGCAACTGCTTTCGCTAGATTTTCAAGACCAGGCCGTTTTAAAGGCCGAGGACTCTGCCCTTCCTTTCTCTTGAAAGCTAGACGGAGCAAGTTATGGATTCGATAGGAGCCGCAGGATCCCTCTCAATTTATTGAAGCTAACAGACCCCAAATTCGTGTTGAGGCCTTGTTATTATAGGGGCTCCCGTTCTTATTTGGGGGGGTGGCCCCCCCACACTAATCAGGCTCCAATATTACCTTCAAGAAAAAAGCACTGCTGAACCATTGCAAACCTTTACTTTCACTGAATATCTGCAGCAAGGTTTTAAAAGGGTACTAGACAAGGAAGCCTGACCAAATCCGTTTTGCAGAGGCAGAACCCTTTTCGCTGCAGCTGTCACCTTCACTGACGAAGGCAGTGGCGGCGTAAGGTCGTAGACCTGCAAAGACTAGAGAAACCAGACAAGAAATTCCCATTTGCGGACCATCACTAGGATTTAGTAAATCATATTAATAAGTTAGTCAAATCGAACCATGCAGTGTGTTGAAATGTTTTCAAGCTGAAGTTACGGAAAACTTGCACTGCACCTTTCAGGGCCGCCTGTTTGGGCAAGCACTCGGCAACTGGCCTTCAGCGACTCCCCAGGGGTAGGAATCAGACCTGCCGACACGGCGACCAGAGCATAGTCGCCACGCAATTTCCTGGCAGCTCCACCACTGCCTGTATCTCACCACCACTACTGTCGAGTTACCATTGCGACCCCTGCGACAACCATTACTATCCAGCGTTTCCCCTGCCTTCAGCGACTCTCATGGTTTTCCCTTGTCTCAAGCACGTCGTGCGTGCTACTCGTGGCAACTCTTGCAAAAAGAACCAAACGACTCCTAGGATGCTCGAAAACTGGTTTAACGACACTTCCGGCTTCAAACCCTACATGAAACCGCCTGTATACCTCAAACCCTAAACCCCGGCATACACACCCTGACAGGAGAAGCCCATGCTGCCGGAGCAGCGCCACCGCGTTCAGAAATCCACCCACCCGCAGCTCACCAAGTCGTTGAGGCACCCCCTGCTTGGCCAGACGGGTCTTGGATCCATAACAATACGCTAGTGAAAGTCGTAGCGGAAGTGGAGGCAAGCAGGGTCCATGTTACTTGTGACAGCAACCCGGGCGCTCACAGGAACAGGATTTCTGCACAACACTTTGCAATCGTGGGGCAGGAAAGTTTCAAGGCGAGGCCAAGCAACAGATACATGGAGTCTGCCTAGCTGGGGAAACTTGACTGCTTGGTGTGCCTATGAGTAGAGGCTTCTAGGACTTTTGAGGAAAATGCTTGGCATCCAGAAAGACCTTGCGACCCGGGTGAAGCTAGCAAAAGCGTTCTGCCCACTTCCTCCAAAGACAACTCAACATGCTGACAAAGCTCATATTCGTCAAAGGTGTCGGTGAAAACTGTTAGAACCCTACAAAATCACTTCTGCAAACTCTGTGGAATCACATACATGACCAACAGCTAGACCGTTCAAAATCCTGCAACGCAGAGATGGAAGTCAAACACCTGATAGACAACAACATCTTCAGGAGGCAAGTATGAGATAAGCAAGGAATGCAAGATCATGTTGAGGAACACGAGGAATTCAATTTCCCGACAAGGACCGCTAGTTCAATCTTCTCAGGGTGTCATTGTCTGCTAGGCCACCTTCGACAGCTGCCAGCATGCGAGGCTCGCCGAGTCCCAACAACCGGTGTAAGCGCGCAGAGCCTGACAATACGACTCACTGATTCAGAAGGCGTGCCATTGTCGGGGTATGATGTGTGAGTTATACAGCAATCATCATTAGAGGCATCCACTCACCCGGATCACCAGTAAGTTCAGAAAAAGAAAAGGGGCAGTAAGCATGGCACGGCGAGTTACAACATCCACGTCTTGATCATGAGCAGAACGGAAGATAACCATGCAAATCCTCATCATAACGCAGTGTCATAATCGTGTTTCCTACTCTCTCAATGCTGGCTTTCTTCTGGCGACCAATTGTAACACGGCGCACAGCACTTAGGACCCTAGCCTTGTAAACTACCAACTGAGTAGTGTTTTTTGGTACTTGAACCTAGTAAGATTATATTGTTATATTCCTCATATACAATACTATACCCCAAAAGGAGGATAATATAATCTTACTCTATATTGGGTACCATGGTATCCCCAAATAAAAGACTACTCAACTGTTTTAGACAAGCCCAAGGCACCTCGTCAGCCTGTGGGGGAGCTTTGTGTATGGAACACCTAAACCCCAAATCTCAAGCCCTACTTGGAGGGTCAGTCGCACTAAGTAAGTAGGTTCATAACCCCTTATAACCCATACAGGAACCCTGGTGATCCCCATTATGAACCTACTTACTGAAGGCCCTTGACCCTCCAAGTAGTTACACCCTCAGCTGGATACGCAAGGGCCTTCCAGGCCTTCTGAGCAATTTCGAATGGGGACATGATGCACATGCGAAAGGCATAC